AGAGAGAGAGAGAAAGAGAGAGAGAGAGAGAGAGAGAGAGAGAGAGAGAGAGAAATTTCATGTCCAAGCCGTATAATAATCGTTCGCGTGTGGGTGTTCGCCGCGTTCCTCGGTGACGACCGACGTTCCTCCACGTCACGCTGGCAACTCCTGATAGGGATAATCGATGTAGCGGCCGCTTCCGTTCGATCGCCAGTGATAGTATACATCGGGAATTTATTTTATAATTACGCCTCGTGTATATATATGTACACGTGGCCTCGTTCCCCGTTATTATGTCCGATGAATGTGCGTGCGCACGCGCACACCATATGGTGCGAGGATATTACCTATGTGGTGCAAAACAGTTAGCCAGTGACCTAAGGTAGCAACACTCGCGGAGTCAACCCCCATACTTCTTCGATGCAACGCACACGTGCAACTGGGCTATCGATCGTTATAGTAGGAGCAAGGCACCGACGGTTAATGAAAATAACTGTAGTCGCGTATACTTTCGCGTTGCTGTACTGCTTAGAGCTTTTTTACACGGCTACACGTTCGTCGAACCCCGGAGGACTTGATGGAAGTATGCACAATCGATCTTTCTTCTCTCGCTACGAGATGAGATAGGGCGAGGAAGAGAAAGAACAACGCGCCGACGTTGTTGCGCGAGGGAGAATATTTCAATTATATATCACTCGCCCCCGACGACGCTCCTCATTTTCCATGGAGTTTTATCTGCGGTAAATAATCGGGCGTTGTCGTCAGTGGTCATTATGAATGTCGGGTAGTTTCTAGAATTGAATCTTGCAAATGTACATCGTCGTGAGCGACAATATTGTCGATTGCAGTACTCTTGGTCGCGAATGAACGGATCTTAATTTGCAGGATCGTGATAAGGGTGCAGCCCGTATACACTTAGGCGAGACTATAGAAGAGCTTAAGAAATTCAATGCGAGGCGAAAATTGAAGGACGCCGTGAAAGCAGCCGTCTCCTCGTCGAAATGGCACGCCCCATATTCAGAGGCTAATGGCGACAATTTCTCCGACGTCGGAGACGACGAGGTGACAACTACAGGTGCGTAGCACTCTCGGAATTTAATCGGATACACTTGGTCGGTCGACAAAATACGACGCGAATGAAATTGCTTTCCTTTCGATGTGCATGTCGCGTCGAGAGAAAGCATTTAATTCGCGGAAAGAAACGAGTGCAACGTTTATTTAATTGGATTTGGAATTATACCTTAGTTATTATCGAAGATATACTTTTTTAGTGTTAATAATACAAGAAAATCCAATAAATGCGATACGAGCGAGATTTTGCTAAGATCGTGTTTCGCTCTTCACGGAAAATTTAGGAGCGTTCTGCATGCACCCACCCAATAGCTCGCGATATTTCCATATTGATCAAAGCAGTGATAACATGATCTAGGCCAACGTGTCGTTTAGGTGCTTCGAGTTTGCTGTTTCAATAGGATCGATGACGTCGCGCGATTTAGGAACTTTATAATTTCGAGCACGAGATGCACATTGCACGAGTATTGCTAATTATCTCTCATGTATATGATAAAATAATACGTACCATTGTCTTCGCGTCACAATAAAGGATTAAGGATTTTAGAATTAGAAGATATGTCACAGAGGATATGTACAAACGTATCAACGAGATACTTTGTAAATACAATGTTTCATACTTTCTCATGTTACAGGTGCTGTAGCTGAAATTGTGGATTCTCTGGATGATATTGAGGTCCTTCAAGAAAGTGGTAGACTATTACGCCCGGAAATTATTAATGCCGTTGATGACCATCGACTTCGAGCTATCTTAGAGGTATCTATTTTGCAATTTATGATAAATTAAAAGAGAAACTCGAGAAAACAGTTAGCGTTAATTGAAGTAATGAAAAAACTGAATGCTTAAAGCATTGATCGAAGAAAATTCATACTTTCCTATTTAAATTTCTCCGAAATTTATCACCTGTCATATGAAATTGCTACTTGTAACTGTCTTCGTGTTGCAAGTGGCAACGAGTTTCTTTAATTTCGCATAGTTTGTGATAGAATGTTACTTCCTCAAAAGTTAATTTAGGAAGTTTTTAATAGCTTTTTCTCTGATTCGCATACAGTAATCATTCTGTATCGCTGGGAAGATTTAAATGTGTGGGATTTCTAAAAAAATCACTTACATAAGTGAATTTCGTAGAAATAGCTATCAAGTGAATAGAATAAATTGTGTGTCGACGCAGCATTAAATTTTGCGAACACAATTCTTATCGTGCTAATCATCTGTGAAATGAAATCGATACTTGATTAAACGAAAGTCAGTCACATTCGTCCAAGCGATTATCTTTTTCTCGCGCGCAGACAGGTAATTTTTGGGATTGAATTTTTCCGCAAATTCTTCAATTATATCCTCGCGCTACTCGTCGATCGATATTTTCATCGACGGTGCGATTTTCGACAATCGACTGCAAGTAACAAACGGAACGTGCCTTCACGGTACACTACACGTACGGTAAAACAGACTTTAAAGTCTGTCCCTTATCGAGGACGGCGGGTAACGATCGCCTACCCTACTTCGGCAACGCTTGCGCCAGCCAACGTTTGAACCTCGTTACCCCCGTTTCAACCCTGCCGTAACCCGGATCGGCAGTCATCTCGAAAGCTCCCTTTTCGTGCGACTGAATTCCGTTGCCACAAAGCTTGAGCTTTTCCACTGAGAGCGGAGCCACGTACTCTCGGCGACCGCGCGCGTGTCGCTCACCCCTCGCGGGATTCCCGCGGGAACTAGCGCCCACTCTCGTCCATTGTGAGGAAAAGTACGCAAGCGCTGCCTGCGGGCTGGCAAGATGGCCGCTGTTGAGTCCTGATAAACAACATGCCGCGCACGATCGAAGAATCGCACGTTCGCGACAACACGCGTGCCAATTGAACGCGCTTCTCCGGTGGTTCCTGAAGTGTCACGTGGCCGTACGAGCCACGTGCTAGGACATGCTACACGTGCGTGGAAAGTACTGCTGTCTAGTAGACAGAAATGCATATCTCACAGTTGATCTCACAGTTCTTCGGCAACGCCGAGTTAACTTGCGACCTGTTAGAAATCGCGAGTTACCTGGTGAGTAAATTCGATACGATTCGGTGGATAACGAGGGGTTTCACGGATCGTTAAAGCTCGGTCGCACGTCCAGTTTCGATGTAAATAAACCGAGAGCGCCGGTAGCGAATTTAAGCGTCTTTCGTGTGACGGGACATCTCATGGGACGTTTATGAACTATTGTTTCAACTCCAATGTCGGTTAATAATTTCGTTTTTCAACCCTATTGTGTTGTGTGACGTTCGCAACATTTCTTTACAGTTTATAATTGTTCGATATTTATGAAATGTATAAAAGTGTGTTTTTATAGCGGAATATTCATTGGGAACTATTGCAAAGAACTATAGATAAAATTTAATCTGTTATGGAAAAGTTTGCGTATTTATGAAGTTTGAATTTTCTTCGAATATTTATTAATAAGTCCCGTAAGTCCTAGAAGTTTAATAAAAATAATAGAGCAACGAGGTGCTTTTTAGTTAAATGGTTTTAATCGAAGAAGGCATAAGAATGATTATTAATTATGTTATTTATTAACATCTAAGTAAAGAAAATAAAAGAAACTCCTGTTTTCCTTATATAGATGACACTTTGATCTGAATTGGTAAATTATTGTAAAAAAAAAAAAAAAATCTAGTAAATCTTTCAAATAAAATATTAAAGATATAAAAAGAGCATATTGGATATCCCTTGTGATAAATTTGGGAAGCAACGTGAAACTATCTGTAATTTAAAATAATATACGATTTTCATACTCACATTAAAATGTAATGAGTGCCTTTGCCAATGTTAGTGTTGTTTATTTTCAGCTTTATGATAGGATCTCAGGTCGTATGCCAACACCGTGCCGAGCGCCGCAAACGGACGCGGTTCAACGTGCCCGCGATGTCGAAGAGATCCTGCGGGAAGCAGAGCACTCAACGGTGCGAAATATCGATAGAGCCGATCTCCGGGAACTTCAGGAGTTATTGGTCCAGCCGCACATGAGGGTAAGTACGTTATAATTTACAGCCAAGAGCTCTCTAGAGCGCGAGCAGAATAAATGACTCATCCTTGTGAAAGCTAGTCCTCTTTGGTTTATATTGCGAGCTATCGCGAAGTAATCTCGAACAAACTTTATATCGAACGTGTTTGCACGCGGAAACTTTATACAGGCGTCATTAAGACGATCGCCGAAACTTCCGCGAAAAATTAGAGCGACGCATTAAACCCCATTCCCTTACATAAAAATGGAATCCTAAAAGAAACGGGCAAACTTTGATAAATTGCTTCTGCTGCATCTTTATTATCATCATTCATCAACTTATTCAGAGGAATATCAAAAAGTCCGCAATAGAAATTCTCCAATGCTCAATCTTTGGTAAAAGGAAAGCTGATTGTTTAAAATATAAATGGAAACGAATAGCAGTCATCACTCTTTCATGGAAAACGACTAACGATGTATTATAAAAAAGAAAAATGTAATACAAATACCGCGAAGGGAATTATCCTATTTTATCGTTGAATATCTTGCGTACGAATTCTATGCACTCACATCAACTTGCGCGCGTTATATGCGTCAGTGGAGCGCATTCGATGGTTTCTGAATTCAAGAGCAAGTAGATCGTGAAACCCGCGAGAGAAGATTCATGTTTACATCGGGCAACTTTTATGGCATCTTTCACCAAACTACTTCCACCCGAGTATATCTCGATAGTCGTCTAGTCGTGCGGTACCACCGTTGTTTGTTCGTAAGGCGACTATCGTCGATCCGACTGGTGTGTATTTATCGCGGTGTTTGACATTACCTAGGATACATCGTAAATGGAGCGCGGAAATGTAGGTCGATCGTTAAAATTCTCAGTTAAAAATCCCGTAGTAGCCGCTGCGGACGCGATAGAGAGACAGAGAGGGAGGGAGGACGGAGGGAAAGAATTGCAGCGAGAGGAAGATAAATGCGGTGGATACGAGCGGAAAGAGAAGAGACAGGAATCGTGGGGGGAATTCGAGCGAAAGAGCAAGAGAGAGAGAGATGGAAGAGGAACGATTTAATCAGTTTATCTGGCGCGTCCTGATAGCTATCCTCGTTACCAGGCGCCTTATTAATCCCTTCTTCATCCTTGACGCGCGATGCTCGTTATTTATTTGTATCCCAGCGACCGGCTTCGTCCGCGTTTCTGTCTGGTCCTATTTTAGATCGGCGTCTCGAGATGGAGAACCCCGCTGTGTGTCCTTTCGCGAGATATTTGGCACCTCGCTCTGGATACAGCCGAAATCGATGTGGCGCCCTACTTCGATTAGCGACATAAGTGGAACGGGCAAAAATAAAAGAGCGTCTGGCGCGAGATGCATTTAATTAGATCGAGCGAGCTGCTGCTTTTGTATGTTCTTCATGAGAAGAAAAAAGAAGAAAGTAACGTTATCACTCTTCGAAGACGGGAATTATAAAAAAAAGTCTCGGAAGAAGTTCGCTTTCGTCTCGCTGTTGTCCCATTAAAATTTCACGCAGCAGTTATTTATTTTCTTACGCATTTCTCAACGGTCTGATATATAAATCTTGATAACGTTACGCGGTGAGATTACGCTTTAGAGTATACTATATATCGTGAATTATTTTTAACGATACGTGTTCACGGATTGACGCGCCGCATTATGGGAAATAAGCAGAAACTTTTTCACGTACACAAGAAAGCTGAGAACAATAAAAATAAAGCTGGTCTCTCCATGGTGTGCTGCCTGCTACATTCACTATTCATGCACACCGAAGTTACTTCCCGCCGTATATCACGCATATGTAAAGACACGCTCGTCTCGCGCATTTTTCTCGGATTTTCCGCGTGTATCCCACTTGACAGCGCGTTGAATATAAAATTCGGCAGTCAGTAAAGGTACGGATAGATATTACAAGTTTTGAATGCGTAAATAGCCATGGCGGAGGCACAATCGCGTTGTTGTTCCGTCGCATTCGAAATCTGCGCGCTCGTTCGCGATGTAACACACAGAAACACAACAATTGAGCCCGGAATTGACACAAGACCGAAACTTTGAAACTGCATCGCGCAATTTATGAAAAAGTAACAAAGTACGCGATCGATATCCGCAAAAACGTGAAACTTGTTGCTTCGTTAACGAGAAATAATATTGCATCGAGATAATCGATTCGTCCAGTCATCGAAGAATGCTTATGCTGCATTAAAATGCACCCTGGAGAAAGGCCGGAGAGCCCTTGATCCATCGCCCACACGGCCACGGCGAGCATCCAAGAAAAGGATTAGCGCATGCGCTTAATATTTTGGGAAAACGCGAAGATCGATGAGATGCGCTCGAGGCTTATATCCCATAAAAATGCATACGTATGCATCTATTGCGATGTAACTGCGCGAAAATACGATCGCGGCGATAAATCAATCGGGTAATCCGTGCTTAACGAACGTACTTCTCGTGTGAGAAAAATATGCACATTCATAGGAATTTCATGCGCGAAATAAATTCGCATTAACGGTATATACGCGAAACATATGTGCACAGGATAATTCGACTCGCGTCGACTCGGAGCCATTTTACATTTTATATTCTACGAGAAGAAAGTGGAGATGTGCACGGATGAAACGCGACTTTGTTACAAACTTTGAGAAACAAACGAAATTCGTACTGTAACTTTTTTCCCGCGAAATATAAAAATATGAACTTTGAAGTTATATTATATTGTTTCTCTTCGATATGTGAATATGTGATTTTTGCCTCACTGGCTCTTATAGATCGCAGATGCTTTCTGATATGCGCTGAATAATTGCGCTAAGGAGATAAAATATGGCCGCAGATACCGGCAATTACGTCGCACCTCGGTTCCATTATTCCACGTAAGCGAAATTTAATCATTGTTCCCGTTTTCTCATATTCAGCCAATAATATGCTCGAATCGAAAGTCGTTGGCTCTAATATGTTACATATTCGTTCCTCTCCGACTTTGTTCCCCCAACTTTATTCTCCCTTCCGCTTTGTCCATGCTGTTTCCTCTCGTATTGTCCGCTTCTCCTTCTTTGGAGCACCGCTAGCAATACGTTTTCTCAATGAATAGAAAGCGTATTGAATAGTCGGGCGAACAACGGTACCTATACGAGGAACTTGTTTCCGAAAGATACGAAATCCGATTTTTTCGGAAAGACAGCGATGCGTGAGTGCGTTCGTGTGCACATTGCATGCGATGATGACGCGCATAAAGTTATTCCACAAAGAAACCTTGCTGCCCGATAACACGAGATTCTCCGAAATTACTCTCTACTGCTACTCTAGGTTGAAGGAGCAACTTGTACTTCGTAACGCGTAACTGGCGCCACCGAGCACTAAAGAAGCTCATAAAAGGGGATGTGATGGACAAGGCGCGTAAGACACTTCTTAAGGGAGCTCTCTCGGGTCAAGCTGAAGAGACGAACAGCCGGAAGAAAGTATCCGTCGAGGGTTGAAAGGGTGGATCACGATTGATTGGCGCTCTATCGTCCGGTACCGTACGCAACCCCGTCCAGTGGTGGCAGCTACCGGCGCTGACGGTACTGCGAAACGGTCGCGCGTCGGTCCGTCGATGCGGGGGCGGCATGGCGAGCGAGGGAAAGCGCGCGAGGTGGAGGGCGAAAGGAAGGAACTGACGTACGGCGGGTGGCCCGAGGGGTCGCGGGAGGGGTCGCTGAAGCCGGTCGGGGGG